TGCCATATTAATCCACAAATACTTGGATAAAAGCATAAGCACACTGTGGTGAAATTATAATTTTTCTTACCCTCCACCCCCCACCCACCCATGCACACACATACACTGTGAACAATTTGAAGGCAGCGCTGGTTCCACCAGTTTTCAGCTCCCAACACTGTGACAGACACAGAGTATGTACGTAGCCAGTCCTGTTGAAATGAACAAATACAACTCGTGCCACGGAGTAGCTCAGACTGCAGTAAAGAGAAAGACATGTAAAGATTTGTATTACCCAGTGTGAAAAGTCACGAGAAACGTGTGAACACCATGTGGTGGAGCACAAGGACAAGAAGGGCCGACTCCACTTGGAGTCGCCTGGAGAAACATCTGAGAGGATGAAATTTGAGTTTGGCCCTGAGTTCATGCAAGACCTCCAGCTGGCAGGGGAGGAGCAAAGCATAACAAACACAGGGAAAAACATGTGTGAGGGCAGAGAGTTGTTAAAGATAATGGCAGGCTCGGAGAGCAGTGAGAAGTTCAAGGCAGTCTTTAAAACATAAAAGCCTCGCAGAGAGTTGGCTACACTGGCTGACAGTTACTGCCCTCTGTCTCACCTCCTCTCCTTAACCGTGCTGCTTGGAAATGTCGCCTCCACTCGTTCTCCATTTCCTCACCTCCCACACGCTCAGCCCACTGCAATCTGGTTGCTTTTACCACGATCAGTAAATATCTCCTTGTTCTCCATCCAATGACACATTCGAATCTTTTTCTTGGCTTTACTACCACATAAGACACTTGTTCTCTTTCTACTTTTGCTATACCCTCCTGCACTGGCATTAAAACCACATTCCCCTGGTGTTGTTGGGAAACCCTTGGGAAAATCCTCATCACGGGATCCGAGACCTTCTGCGTCTGCCAACAATCGAAATGCAACGATGTCTCCTGGAAAATGAATGGGGCTAACACCCATGTGTAATAGCTGGTATCTTTAATAAAGGCACACAAGTTCAGGGTGTCCCTCCCAAGAAGACAGGTTCCACCCTGGCAAACTGGGAAAAGGACAGGCACCTGTGCAATTTAAAAATACTTTTTAAAAATACCACTTCATGGTCAGAAGCCATAGCTGCTTGGTATTTATGCAAAAAAATGGAAGTATGGTAGGGAATGACTCTTTTCTGAATAAGCCCTATGACTGGATGTTCTCGGTTCCCACAACCCTCCCTCCTGTAAGATGGAAGAGGCTGGAGTCAAACTAGGCCAACTACCTTTATTTTCCCTCTGCTGTGGAACTGTTACCCCATCTCCTAGGTGGGGTTTTCACTGTGGGCAAAATCTATGGGTTTGTCTCTTTATCAAACGAACCCCATCCTACCTTGGCTGAGGGCTGTAAGTGAGAAATATCTGACTATTGCATGTCATCATTGCATCTAATAAGGAGCAAAAGGCAGCTCCATTTGTCCAAATCCCCCTTTATTTTCAACAGGCATCCATGGCTGTTCCTTCCCAGTCTCCTAGGCAATCTCTTTCAACCTCTTGTTTTCTAAAGTTTCTGCAACAGCCCGATGACCATTTCACGCTAGCCTGTTTTTCCGCACAAGTTTATGTCTGTGCTTATGTTTACAACTACCATCACATGCTTCTCCAAACCATCTGCACTCTATGCTCCCCTCCTGAGCTCCCGAGCCATGCCTGCTCGCCAGACATCTCTAGCTGAATCACTCACAGCAGCACAGTATGTCTGATACATAAATACTTGCTCCCAAACACCAAAAACAAAAGCATAGAAAACTTTCCTTGTCCCATATCCCAGTGAATGGTGCCACCATTCACCCAATCCCCCAAGACTTCATCCTATACACATAACTCACTCTGTTGAAATATAGACCACCATGCCTACAACTGGCAATTACGACCTCACAGATTTTAGAAGGAGTCTAGGAAACAAAGGTTTTAATAAGTAACTCCCAGTGATTCCAATGTAATTGTACTATGAATATCATTTAGAGAAACATTTTTAAACTATAGAAGGACACTGAATAATAGTAGTTAAATGAGTGAATGATCACCAAGTCTAATTCCTATCCTTACAAAATAGCAATAACCTTCCAATAACTAACTCTTACATGCCAGCTTTAAAGTAAGTAAACATCATGTCATTACTCCCTCGATGTATAGTATTCACCTAATTTGTAGCAGGTTTCTTTAGCTACATTTGCAAATGACAACTCCTGATAAAGGTTAACAGCTATATCCAGTGTCAATTTTAACCCAATTATGCACATGTAATAACTCTCTAAAACTTCCTATTATGTTAATCACCACACTGCATAATTTCCTAATAGGTTGGGGAATCAGAGATACTGCACACTGTTTTCATAAGATAGAAAAGTATGAACCAATGAAATCAATATGATTAATAAATTACCAAGGTCACCACTTAATAGTTTGCTTCTTAATAGCTTAATGGTAAACTCTGTTCAGAATTTGCCCCTCATGACTTCAAAGTCTCCATTGTTTAAATTTGAACCTTAACAAGTAACACTGCAAGAGTTAACCATTGGGCTGCAGTTCTTACTAGGTTTCGGTGCAAAAATTGGTGGCTATACCATTTATGCCTTAAGTAAGAATACACACACACACAGTGAAATTGCTTACTAATATGGGAAAAGTTATCCTCATACAAACCAAGGAGAAAAGTTAATGAGAAGTGAGTTATAAATTGCTAACATGCACACACCTGCTACAGACTTTGTAAATTGTCAACTACTAGTACATTCCAAAGTTTAATTATTACCTTCTTAATCATGATTTCTAAATATTCAAATAAAAGATTTTAAACTTATTTGCAGGCACTCTAATTACAATCTTTTGTTATAATTTAGACGTGCAACTTTCTTTGGACAATCGCACTGGTTAATAACTCTGAAATGCAGTTTTTGAGTGAGTGCGCATGTATGTGTTTGTTCTTTTGGTTCTTAATTCTTTTTGCTACACTGCCTTTTCCTCTCAGGCTAATGTCACAACAAATCTACATCACTGACCTGAACAGGAAGACTTAGGGGTGTAGGGCTTGCTACTCCGCTTGCACCCTGAATGGAAACAAGTGTATCTGCTAAGATGCTAAAAGTGGAATTAAATTTATCCTTTACTTTTTGCCATTAATTAATTGCTTCTGTAAGCCACTTATGGCTGATAATGACATGGGTATATTTTCCCTCCACCTCATAATAAATTTCTTTCTAATTAAACTGTCAGAGCCAAGCTTCATTTCTTGACCTGGCCATGTGTATTAATATAAATTCAAACTGTACCTCATTATCTTGCTTTCCAGCAAAAATAATATCAAGATGGAAAAATCATTCCATTTGATCATCAGGAAGACCAAACCATTTCTTTTCACAAAATATATACATGTTTTTACATAATCTCTGTCTTCACTAAGAGATCCACAGTATGAGTAAGTGTGTACATTTGTACGTGTCTGTGTTACAGATTTATAGAGATAACTCAGGCTTCATTGCCTCCAGCTTCATGATACTTCTCTAGATTTGGACAATCAACAAATAGTACCTGTTGAGTGACCAAACCATCTCTTTGCCCCTACTCAAAACCCTCCGCATTTTACTTGTCACTGTGTATGTCAATTATCACTATGTTGACTCTCCAGCTTGCAGCTGCAAATCGACCCTCCTTTCCCTCCTTTGAGAAGGACTCTGTAAACAGGGGTATCAAATTCATTTTCCCCGGGGGCCACATCAACCTCACAGTTACCTTCAAAGGGCTGAAATAATTTCAGTACTGCAGAAATGTGACTACCCCTTAACTGTTAAGGAGTTGAAATTACATACGGCCCTTTGAAGGCAACTGCTCGGCTGATGTGGCCTCCGGGGAAAATGAGTTTGACACCCCTGCTGTAAACATTGCTATTTAGATAGCTGGTGCAATGTTAGGCTTTGTCAATGGAGAGGACTGGAGGGACTTTCTGAGGTCATAGCAAGGCAAGGGACTTTTTTGCTGCTTTTCTTCACGGTTTGGGTGTATTGTCATTCCTTGGCATGGCTTCAAAGGGTTGACATGCAGTGAGTTTTCAGTCACAGGCAGGATATTCAGTCAAATCAGCTCTGGCAAGTGCCCCCACATGTTTATCTTTTGCATGGATGTGTGACAATGTTGAAGTTCCACTCTTTTTTGCAAATTTCAATTATACATTACAGTGTTATCAACTAGAATCACCATGTTTTCAATTAGACTCTCAGACCTTACTATTTTGTAGCTGTAGGGATAGGGAGAGGTGGGTATAGGGTGTATCTCTAACCCCAGGCCATAGCAACCACATTTTTATGCACTGCTTCTGTCAGTTTAATATTTTTATTCTGCATATAAGTGCTGCATAAGGAATTTGTTTTTCTCCGTTAATTTATTTAGCACAATGCCCTTAAGGTTCATCCCTCTTGTAGCAAATGGCAGGATTTTGTTATTCTCAGGCCTGAATAATATTCCACTGTGGTCACGTGTACCATGCTTCCTATCTTGGCTGCCGTGAATAATGCTGTGATGGACATGGGGCTGCAGAGAGCTCTTTGAGGTCCTGTTTTCATTTTCTTTAGATACACACCCAGCAGTGAGATTGCTGGATCATGTGGGTCATAAATTTTTAAAGTTTTATGGAACCTCCATAATGTTTCCCACAGTGGCTGCACCACTTCACATCCCCACAAACAGTGCACAAGGGCTGATTTTCTCCACATCCTCACCAATGCTGCTAACCTTTTGCCTTTTTGATGATACCAGTTATGATAAGAATATACTGTAAAATTATAAAACACCAAGCCAGAATGGTGCACCACAGACACAGAAGAATTAACATCCTAAATTCTCCATTATAATAGTTTAGACTCAATAGTCATGGGACAGTCACATAATTCTATAACACTAAACATACTTGTTTATTCTAAAAAAATTATCCTTCCCAACTTTGCATTATGTGAAATAAAAATACTATTTAATAAAAAACTCACCATATCTGTATCTGAGACAGGGCCAAAACTCGTCACGTAGATGTTAGTGAAGACTTCGGTAATACTGTCTGATATAAGAAAAAGAGATTGAATATAGATATTATGTAATGAGAGGCACAGGAGGAAGAAAGGGTCAAGTTCATGACATCGTTAGAAACTGTGATACTTGAGCATATTGTTTTTTACTTGCTTTTTAATTTCCAGACCCCCCCAAAATTATATTGCTCAATGATTTCATAGGTTCTCATAACCCTAAATGCAAAATGCCTATAAGTATTAGGATCCTCTTACTTAGCAACTATTCCTAACTAGAGTATTCTGTTGTAAGCATATTTCATGAAATTAACAGTTTGTTAAATCTATCTTATCTGAACTAGTTTACAATAAATTTTCCACCAGTACTGAAAATAAAATATACTCAGTGTGGTTACTGGTCGGGATAGTCCTGAACTGAATTCTTAAAGTAAATATTTCAGATGGAGTTTCAGGATGGTTGAGATTTAGTCTGTAGATGGTAAATTAGTGTGTCTTCTCAATAAAGTACAAGTAGATTATTAATCATTACAAATAAATATAATTCATATTAATATAAAAGATGTATTATTTAGTCACATAAAAATAAAAGAAAATAGCATGCATTAATCACAATGGATTACTTCCAAACAAGCTTGCTTTTAAATGCATTTTAGAATGTCTAAAATGCCAAGACTTAGAATTCATCTTAAGTGGATTAAATTAGATTCTACAGTTATGTAACTTATTAACTGCAACACAATTAACTGGATTGCTCTAATGATTTATTTTCCTTTTTACTGAATTTATTAGGGTGACACTGGTTAACAAAATTATACAAGTTTTAGGTGCATAGTTCTGCAACACATCTGTACACTGCATTGTGACCACCCCAGATCAAGTCTCCTTCCAACACTATTTACTCCCTATACCCTCCTCATCCACCTGTCCACCTCTCCCTAGCAATCGCCACACTGTTGTCCATGTCCATGACTTTTTTTCTATATTTTCTCTTTTTTGTTCAAGCCCTCCACCCCACTACCCAGCACCCCAACCCTATCCAAGACTGTCAGCCTGCTCCTTATCTATAAGCTTATCTCTGTTTTGCTTGTTAGTTCATAAGGCAAATGGTGTGAGTGAGGGGAAGCTCAAAGGAAAGATTTTAAAAGAAAACCCTTTAGCCCTGGCTGGATGACTGGGTTGGAGTGTCAGCCTGTGCACCAAAAGGTTGCAGGTTTGATCCTCTGTCAGGGCACATATCTAGGTTGAGGGTTTGATCCCTGTCGAGGCACACATAAGAGGCAGCCTATAAGCCCTCTCTCTCTAAAAACAATAGATATGTATCCTAGGGTATGGATTAAAAAATCCTTTAAATATACTTACAGAAAAAAATATGTCATTAATTTCTGCCATTGTGAACCATCTTATTTGGTAACTGTCAAATTTTTATTCTAGACAAATAGCATGAGATACTTTTAATATTATACCAGGAAGGAGAAAGTAAACTAAGTTTGTGGTATTGAATCCACTGATGCAAAACTAAAACATAAAAAAGGATTTAAAATAACAAGAGTAGACTTATTCAAAAAACTTTACATGTAATAATCTGCATAAGAAACCCATGAGATCGATTTTCTCTTACCACCTCGGTGTGTGTGTGTACACTTAAGTATACAGAGGTAAGGAATTACACCCAATCACCCACACTTAGAAGCAAAGCAATCTTACTCCTGAGCCCTCAGGGTAGCCCGAATCGTTACATCACAGTCAACAATCAATTTAAAATAAAAGTGTTTTCTCATTAACTATATATTTTTGTTCACCACAAAACTCTGCCAAAACACGATAATAGTGTTCTAAATAAATATAGTCACTCAACTTTATTGTTTTTATAAAGTTTTCTATTGCAAAAACTGTATGGAACTTTATGATAAAACTGATTTGAAATATGAATATCCTATAACGTTAATTCCCCGCTGCCACCTGCTCCAAAGACCTGCACAGGGTCAGCTTCAGGGATACGCACCTCGGGCCTTGTGCTCAAAAGTGCCACGGGCTTGGTTTAATGTCTTGTTTTTGCTGGTTTAAAATTATTATTCATTTTCTGCATGAGAGGTCCTGCATTGCAGTCTTGGACTGGGCCTCACGAATTAAGTGGCCAGTCCTGGACCTACATTGCATGTGGTACTAGAAAGAAGTCAAGACAATGGGATCCCAGTTTGTTTCTCCCTTTTACTCACACTAAATCTACCATGCTACCACCTTTACTCAATACACAATATAATACAATTTTAGTAATTACAGATAGGGCTTCAAAATTCTTCAGAGAAGAGAAGCTAAAACATTAAGGTCATCTTCATCCCAACAGAGGCAAATAAAATTTTCCTCCTCAGTCTGGAAGAGTAAAATTGAAAAAGAGACATGACAAAAATGTGTGAGTACATTCATGCTTAAGGATATGAAAAATATTCACTATATGCCAAATGGAAATTAAAGAGGAAGCGAGAGTATTCTCAGTGACTAGTGGCTACAGGGAAATGCCAGCTAAGTATCCAAGGGTGAAAAATACAAATAGCATCAAAGCTCTAAGAAGTAAGAGCAGCCCCTAAAGAGGCAGAAGATAGATGTGTAAAGTTACCTTAAGAATTGATTTCATGCTTTATTGACTTCATAAACATAGTTAAAGAATATATGTATTGGGAGAGGTATTCTTCCGTTACGAAAGTTAAGAAAAAAGAAAATTAGCAAGGCACACTCTGACCACAAATACCCAATATGTACCTGAGACTGGAAGACTGATTCTTGGTATTGAGCCTTTGAGGATTTCCATTTCCGTGGATTCCCAGAGATGTAAACAATTAACAGGCATTGGTGAAATATTTTATTGTGATGACTAAATATATTTGATACATCTAACACGACTTTCCCGGGTTCTGCATTTGAAGTGTAATCTTCCATTTGAATTTCCATAAGGGAAAGGAAAGGCAGGAGAGATGGGCTAAGATTATATGAATTTGGGGATTTTGTGACACTGATTTGTCAAAGTCAGTCCATAGTACCTCTGGTTTTGTTTTGCTTTCCCTGGTGATGTAGGGTAGGCTTGAGCTGTGTCATTAGTGCCTGTTAGTTTTCTGACTTATGTGACAGTCGTAGGCCACAAGTAAAACCAATAACTAACACTGCCTCTGGTGGCCATCCCAGTCTCTACATCTTAGGTACCACGGGTTACCCTCCAAAGTCCAGATCACTTCACTGGACCCACTAAGCACTGTCCTGCCTCAAGCTGTTCACGTTGGCTTTTACTTCTTTTTCAGTCGTAGTTAATTGCTGCTCTGCCTTTGTGTCTGATTTAAATGTTCTTTCCTCAGAGCAGAGGAGAAGAACTATTCCTCCTATAGAATGTAAGTCTTCTTATTTTCTCTCCGACACTAGTTTCCCCCCATATAGGACATTTTATAACTTGCCATTATTTTTATGCCTTAACATTTTACATGTTTTTTTGTTATGTTTTGCTTTGCTTTGCTTTGTTCTTTGCTTGGTCTGTCTCTCCAAGTAGAATTTAAATTTGCCGGAGGATAGGACTGTGTCATTTCTACTCTCTGTTCTATCACCCATGCTAGCACACATGCCACACATTAGGTGCTTTATACTTGAATAAACAAGTCATTTCTAATTATTGTGCATGCAGAATATATTACTTTTCCCAATATGTTTCATCAACATAAAAAATGGCTGTGAATAGCTGCTGGCAGTCCTTCAGAACGGCCCTGTTGTTTGTAAAGGCAGAGGGCAGACTGCCCATCAACAGAGGGGATGGAAAGCCTAGGGAACTGGTTCCCAGTGAAGAGACAAATTCAAGCAAAGGAGGGACATGTATTTACAGGGACAGTGGTCTATGGAAACCAGAAGTTAACTGCTGAACAGTTAGAGGCTTTTAACAGAGACCTCCACCATGTGTCATCTCAAAGAAATTACTTATCAGCTAAATTTTTGGCTTCAGAAATACCAGCAGCATCATATACAAAAGTAAGATCTTCTATAGGGATTTTTTTCAAAGGCACAACACCATGGGTTTACAAACAGGCACTTTAAGAGAAATGAGAAATGAGTATGATAAGCACAGAAGAATGTGTGCAATTGCCCAATTCAGGGGAGAAAGGAGAATAACCTACTGAGAGGTACAAGGAGCTTCTCATACATTTCTAACATTTTTCTTCTTTTCAAATGGATGTTAATGAAATTTTCAAACTCTTAAGACTCTATAAAACTGGTCATGGAATAAATCATATTATTTTCTATACTTTTATGAATGTTTGAAATACTTAGTAGAAAAAAGTAAATGACCCTGAAAGATATCCAAAGTGAACACATAAATAATTTAATAATTTCAAGAAAGGTTTAAATTAATTCATGGAGATTGTTCTTCACTGGGTAATGCAGCATCCAATAACAATCAAACTCATTTTTAAAGACCTTTAGGAAACAGTTAAGTCTGGCTCGTGAACAAAGGTAATATGTACAGATATGGGGGGTGTCACTTTGTAAAAACAGAGGTTGCCCTGAAAAAGATCCTGAAAATGATGGCCTTTCTCTCTATATTATAGCAGCACAGCATTCGCCAAAAACCTTTTCTATAGAGAAGGTTATGATATAGAAAAGTTATGCCACATTTATAACAGTGGGAAAACCAAAGCAGAGGAGACTGAAAAACTTGTATCCAGTTTAAAAGATATTGCAATAGCTACTACAAAAGAAAAAAATGACAATGCGAATACAAAAGTGTTGAAATCAAGGATGTAGAGTTTTTTCTACGATGGTATTGTTAAAAGATGCTGAAATATGCCCCTTTGTTTGACTATCAGAAAATCTTCAGAACCTAGAAATGAGCAGTTGCATAAAACAAATGAAAGAAGGCTAATAAGTAAATGGATAGTGAATACATGAAAACAAGTGGAAAATATTTTCATTTACGTGGTTGTCAAAAATATTTAGATGAAGTCATAAATAGTTGAACTGTACTGGGTAATATACCAGCAATCAAACCTTCAAGCAAAAA